TTTTATGCAACCTAGACAGTAAATGCTGCCTGTGTAACACAGCATATTATTTTACACTGAACTTTATCCCTAAGTAGAAAAGTTTCATAAATGGGTAAAAGCTATAATATAATAAATACACAACTTTATGGTAACTAATGACAAACTGTCCTTTATTATCATTTTCAAGTATTACATACTATACATAATTACATATGCTGTTCATGCGATTGGCAGTGTGGTAGGCTTGCTTACAGCAACATCACAGCAGTCACATAATGCTGCATTATACCATGATATTACAGAGGCTAAAATTTCACCACATGGTGGGGGTTTTGCCAGCTCCATTATAACGCTATACAACCACTGTTGTATATGAGTGTATTGTTGACTGAAATGTCATTAAATGTGGCACATCTCTAGTTTGATTTATGAAAGATTTGTGACATGCATACATGTGAAAGAAATGCTTGTGTCCATTTTTATAGTGGGGCATGGGCTGGAAGTTAGATCAAAAACAGCAGAAGTCACATAATTCTGCTTTTTTTTTTTAAAGATTTATTTTTACTGGAAAGTCAGCTTTACAGTAAGAAGTGGAGACAGAAAGGTTTTCTGACCTCTGGTTCACTCCCCAAGTGGCCACATGGCTGGAGCTGAGTCACTCTGAAGCCTGCAGCCAGGAGCTCCTTCTGGGTTTCCAAGGTGGGTACAGGGCTTCAAGGCTCTGGGGCATCTTCAGCTGCTTTCCCAGGCCACAAGCAGGGAGCAAGATGGGAGGAGAGCAGCCGGGACACAAACTGGCACCCACATGATATCCTGGTGGATGCAAGTTGAGGACTTTAGCCACTAGGCTATGTGTAGGGCTCATTTCTACTGTTTTAATATTAGTATTATAAAGCTACAATTCTTTTCGTGTTCACATTTGTAAGATTTTCTTGCATGCATACTAAGTTATGGGTGCTCTTTAGCTCAAATGTCTTGGGTCCCAGCTCTCGAGCAATGTACAGTCAGGCCTTCTTGTGTGCATGTGAAGGGAGAATAGCAAAACAAGAGTATTTTAGGTAAAGGGAGGACACATAGGTGTGTGTGTGTGTGTGTGTGTGTGTGTCTTGCTAAATGCAGACTTTGTCAAAAAGACAATGGGGGAGGGGCTGGCGCATCGGCTCAGTTGGCTAATCCTCCACTTCCAAGCATAGGTGTCTCATATGACTGCTGGTTCATGTCCTGGCTGCTCTACGTCCTATCCAGCTGTCCGTTTATGGCCCGAGAAAGCAGCAGAAGATGACCCGAGTCCTTGGGATTCTGCATCCACATGGGACACTGGGAAGAAGCTTGTGATTCCTGGCTTTGGATGGGCCCAGCTCCGGCCATTGTGTCATTGGGAAATGAATCAGTGGATGGGAGATCTTTCTGTCTCTCCCTCTCTCTGTAAATCTATATTTCCAACAAAAATAAATAAATATTAAAAAAAGAAGGAGGGAGAACATAAAAAGCTTTATAGGAGAGATGAGCACTGAGGCGATGGTTATTTAATAAGTAGGCTGCGTAATCTGAGGTGGGAGGACCAGGCGTAGTAGTGCAGCATTTACAGAGGAAATGGTACTAGGAATACAGCCAAGGGCATTGGTACTCCAGCGGAAGAGTGATTCACTGTTTTGTGGTTCATGCATGCTATCTGACTGAGCTATGCCAAGCATGAGGAGCTGGGCTTTGTCCTACTCGCTCGGTTACCTTGTACCCACAAGCCTTCTCAGTTTCACTTGGATCCTCTGTAAGATGCTTGCTCCAAGTGTCTTTCATTGTATCCATTGTCTCTACCACTTCTTTCCAGGGACGTCACTATGCAGTCAATCAAAACTCTCATATTCATTCTTCAGTTTCACACTCTCCCTGGGTCTCCTTTGGTTCACCTGGTCCTTTATTTTCTCAAGAATTGCTTAGTCAAGACTTCATGTCCTGCAGACATTTCAGAATAGGAAGATGTTTTGTAACTTTACCATTTAATGTGCTTTTTTTAGGCACAGCTTTGAAACACCTGGCATCCTCTGGTGACCAGGAATTTCACGGGACCTTCTCCTAGTCTGTAACAAACATGTTCTGTTCTCCCTAACCTCAAATTCCTGTGACCTTGTTGAGTGTTCAACTGTTTAGGTACAGTTTATGGGTCCTAGATTCATCTGTCTCAAAAGGGACAGTCAGCTTATTTTCCTGAATAAAATCTCTGAAAAGAAGTATGGTTGCAGAATAAAGTAATGATGCTTCTTAGGTTATAAGAGTTCTCAGGCTATTTTAAAATGATAGGTATTAAAGTCTCTAGTAGCTTCCAAATGGATAAGATCCAAAATATTCAATAAGTACAGTATTATCTGTCTTCTTTCTTCCCGCTTTGTAATGGTATTTCTAAGCTTGTGACATCTGTTTATTTTCTTGAAAAAACCAGAAGGATTTCTTTCTTCTTTTTGTGTAGAGATTTACTTATTTGAAAGAGTTACAGAAAGAGTGGGAGGCACAAGAGATGGCAGTCTTACACCTGCTGCTTCAGTTCCCGGATGGCTGCAGGGCTGAGTCAAGGCTGTGCGTGGCCAGGAGCTTCACCTGAGACTTCCAGGTAGAATGCAGGATCGCACACCCTTGGGCCACCTTTTACTGCTTCATCCATGCCATCTACTTGAGTTGGCTCTGAATGGAACATTCAGGACATAAACAGGCACTGATGTGGGATGCTAGCATCTTAGACAGCTGCCATACTTGCTATGCCATAATGCCAGCCCTGAACCCTAACAATTTCTAACCTATCTGATTTCAGTATATTCTGTCCTCACTTGTCTATACTTTTTGGTCTTTTGGCTCAAGTCTTCCTTTCATTCAATTTTGGGGAAATCTGAGACTATATGCTACTTTGTTTTTTGGATTTGTAACATCAATTACAGTATGTATTTAGGCATCTTCCCCGTGTAGTTATTTGAGATTATTTAATATTTAATTTTGCTGGTAGTTTTTCATGAAAACAGGTACTATGTCATCTGATTTACCACATTGCTCTGAGACATGGCCGTCCTTTATTTATTTATTTGTGGGGCAGAGTTTCAGAGAGAGAGAGAGAGATAGAGACAACTCTTTCCCTTTTGTCTCTTCTCTCTGAAACTCTGACTTTCAAATAATTAAATCTTAAAAAAAATATCTAAGAGCCAATATGGTGTAGCAGGTATGGGCTTTGGAGGAGAAGACCTGAGTTATCTTTTTCTACATATTGACCATAACGCTTGGGGCATGGTGACTAACTTTTCTGATTCAACTTTCTTAACCTTAAAATGCTTGCTTTAGGGCCCGGTGTGGCGGTCTAGTGGCTAAAGTCCTCTCCTTGAATGCGCCAGGATCCCATATGGGTGCCGGTTATAATCCCAGCGGACCCACTTCCCATCCCTCCCTACTTGTGGCCTGGGAAAGCAGCTGAGGACAGACTAAAGCCTTTGGACCCTGCACCTGCATGAGAGGCCCAGAAGAAGCTCCTGGCTCCTGGCTTCGAATCGGCTCAGCTCCAGCCACCGTGGTCACTTGGAGAATGAATCATCGCATGGAAGAACTTCCTCTCTGTATATCTCACTTTGCAATAAAAATAAATAAATCATAAAAAAAATGGCTATTTTAGTGTTCTTCCTTCTGGGGTTATTATGGCATCCAAGTGCTATCCTAAACATAAACATGGTAGCATGAATAGGGAACAAATGTCATATCCACTGTTCCTCTCCTTCTCACATTTCTCTTAATTTTTATAATACACTTTTAATTTTTTTAATAATATAAGCTTAACATTCCACAAAATACAGAATTCAGCAGTAAGCATAAAAACCACTTTTCTCAAGAGTATTCACATGAGTTAAAAATGATAATTAATTATGCTTAGTAAAGCAGTCCCAAAGACCAATATCCATTTTTCCCAATTTGTGTTAGTATACAGAGTACAAAAAAGTAATGTGCATGAGTGAAATTGACATTTGATTTATTTTTAAAGAAATTGAGATTTCATCTATTCCTAAGAAAATTCTTAGGGCTAAACTTCACATATTTGTGTTTCATATATTGTTAAATTGCATTCAAGTCCTTCAGAAATGCTGAAGAAAGTTGGAAGAAGATTGGGAACCTAATACTGAATACTTCAAATGGTCACCATTAATTGTTGAATGTTTAAAATGGTATAAAATAGGTTTTAATGGATATGACTAGGATTTTCTTATGTTTATTGACAAATAGAATTTATTTGACAGTATGGTTTTAAATAGTACTTGGAAACTCTTATTCAAAATGCTTAATAATTTGGGCCTGGCATGATGGCTCAGAGGCTAAATCTTTGCATAGCACCCACCAGGATTGCTTATGGGCACCAATTTGTGTTCCAGCTGCTCCACTTCCAATTCAGCTTCCTGCCTGTGGCCTGGGTAAGCAGTAGAGGATGGTCCAACATCTCGGGACCTTGCACCCATGTGGGAGGCCTGGAGGAAGCTCCTGGCTCCTGGCTCCTGGCTCCTGAGGCTCCTAGCCTCAGATTGCCTCAGCTCTGGCCGATGTGGCTACTTGGGGGGTGAGCCAGCAGGTAGAATATCTTTTTGTCTCCCCTCTTCTCTGTAAATCTATCTTTCTAATAAAAACAAAAAAAAATGCTTGCTAATTTAAGCAAGATTAACAATTATATTTCATGGTTTTGAAATCTACTTTTTTATATCCTAAATTTTTGTGTTATATTTTTATTTTTGGTTTTAAACACACTACCATTTTTATACTCAGCTACAGTGTATTTAATGGTACATGCATTTATTCCATCCTTTCCAAACATGATGCTTGTTACTTAGTGTTTTGATTTTGTTTCTTTTCAAAATTAATGTACCAAGCTGTGAATGTTCTTAGAAACCAGAAATTCTATCTCTGGTAATTATAGCTAAATTATTCTTTAAACAAAAAATGGATTTTAAGTTTATGTATGTCTCTCCTAATCTGAATATCAAATGTACTTTATACACCACAAATTAGTTGCTGTCAAAAAGATTTATTAATGAAAAATTGAAACACTGAAGACAGATCCCTTAAAGAAGTCTGTTTCAGAAAAGAATGAAGTTCTTGAATTGCTACCCAAGATCAAACGAAGAGTGTAATTATCAGTGTTTTAGACCTGAAAAAAAAAGGACAAATATTCAGGACACCTATTTAACAGAAAGAGAATTAATTAATATATTGATACACTCTAATTTATTCTGAGAAATGTATGTAGCAGTAAAATATAATTTGCTTCAGTTTGTATCCAACATGTGCCAAGGGCACTATCATATTTCTTTTGTATTTAAGTGATGAATAATCTTAGTTCTTAATGAGTAAGGGCTGCAAATATATTTACTAATTGAAAAGAATCATTGGTGATATATTGATGAAAAATCATTAAAATAAGCATTTTATAAGATCTTTTATTACTACATTACCTTTGAGATATATTGATCTGACTTTTTTCATAACATTAGTTCTCACTAACATGCCATATTGATAAAGTACAAAGCCTATTGAAGAGGAATGAAAATAATATACATCATTAAATGTAGCTGGAAGAAGTAAAATTTCTTCTCTCTATACACTTGGACATTAGGATGCTAACAGATAAAGTCTTAATTTTTTTTACTGTTCGTCTTTTAAAGTATTCATAAATATATTTTGATGCATGACCTGTATTCATAAGCACCTGCATTGTCTAAATCTGCTACTTGCCTTACTTATCCATGTTCTTCAATTTTTTTTTTTCCAGATTTTTGCCTGCAGGAAAAACTTCTTCCATTTTAAGACTAATGGGCCAGGCTATTATACAAGCCTACGTGCATTCCATTTGCTGCTCTCAAATCATGAATTCATCTGGATCTTCTTTCAGTAGTTTGAAGATCCCAGTTTCAGTTGTAGAGGTATCTTCCTTGTAGTTTGGAGTATCTAATGCAGGGTTATTTTCAGAAAATGGCTCAGTGACGCTCGTTGCGGATTCTGACCTGCTGCTTAAGTCTTCTGTTGAGCTAGTAGATAATTCATCTATGAAATTCATAGCAGCTGATGCTGGGACGACAAAGTCGTATCTAGATTCAACAGCAGAAAGCAAAACAGAATGGGTCTCTGGTTTAGTTGGTACATCACTCTCCATCCACATACTGACCCCCTCAGTCGAATCTTTGTCAGCTAGTGGGGTATCTTCTGGGTTATCTTTGTCTTTTTCGGGAACAGCAGTGAGCTCAAACACAGTAATGAATTTTTCCTCATCTGAGTCAATAAGTTTAGTTACAGCACTGGGCTCATCATCTGAAACAGCTAGGTCAATTTCAGTCACATTCTCTTCTTCAAGAACAGTTATGTCTGGAATAGTGGGGAAGATTTTTCCAGTTGAAGGAGGGATTTCATCTTCAGGAATGAGGGAGTCCGTGACAGCATCATCAGCAGGGATATTGGAGTCGACTGGGGAGTTAAAATTTTTTACATCTTCTTCACCTTTTTTATCTGGAAAAGTGGGTGGGTCTGCAATGCCAGTGTCGCTTTTTTCCAGTGTGCCAGAGAGTTCAGAAGTTATCGAGATTTCTTCATTCCCTGTGTCAATAGTAGCCAAGATGATTTCTTCTTTTGTTATATCAGTGGAAAAATCTATTAAAGAAACAGTAGCAACAGGTGGTGAAATGCTCCCACGTTTCACTGAAATGAAATTTTCAGTAATGTGCTCGTTGGCTCTGGAGTCTGTAGCATCAGACACACTGGTAACATCTTTCTCCAGAGGAGTCATTGGCTTAATTTTATGGGTCTCCAAGTCATCCTCTGATTTGAGTTTTTCCTTTGTAGCAATAAGCTTATTGCCTGTGGTTGCTGAAAAATCACCTTCTAGCAGGAAGTCATTTACTGAAGTAATGTGGTCTCCTTCTGAAGTAATCACTGTTTCTGATCTAGGAGCAGCATTGTCAGTCCCAATGAAAATGGTTGCTTCATTTGGTGTTTTACTGCTTTCTGTTGGAGGATGAGAATAAATTTTAGGCAAACCATCTTCGGCCATGAGGTGAAGTGGTGCTGTGCACGCTCACAGGTCTTTCTTCTGGTCTTAGTGTATCCCTGGACAGGGGGAGTGGTTTTCTTTACTGTGATTGAAGCACACTGGTCATCATGGGGATTGTTGCATCAATGGTAGCAGTAGTGGCACTGGCTGGCTCCCCTTGGAGATTTTGTTGCTATGATTGACATTAGGTGGGTGAAAAGACAACAGAGTGCTTTCTGATTCTGAAATAAAATTTTGCATTAAGCATTTCTAATGTAGGAAACTCAGGATTGACCGTGTTTCTGATTCTAAGGGTCATACCATCTGATACAGAGGTAGTGTCTCTTGGTACACTAGAGTTTCCCTGATACTTGGTCAGTCTGGTGTCCACAGAAGACATTCTGAGATCCATGACATTATCAACATCAGTGTAAAGCTCCTGTCTTGCAAGTAAGGACAAATGTCTTTTTGAAGTGAAGCTATATTCTCTTGCAACTTACGGTTTTGAGATGTCTAAGAAAGATTCACCATGAACTTTGGCAGTGAGTATAGTTGTAGGATGACATTAAATAGGAGTGATATTCTCTTCTTTAAGAAGGAAAGTCTTACTTCTTTTTTTTAGTAGAAATAATATAAAATGGTACATTCTCTGAGTTGGATAACTTACAGGATATTTTGTTTCCTTATTTTTTCATCATCTGGTATTTATGAATCATAATTCAGTGTGAATAATGGTGCAGAAAAAAAACCCTTGCTGCCCTTTTTGGGAACAATTACTTTGTGTTATAAATGAAAGATGGATCAGCTGGAAGTTAACCTGTTAAACCTACTATCTGCTATGTTGAATAAAATCTGGAGGAGAAGCAATAGATTAATCTCAGTGGGTGTGTCAGATGAAATTATTATGTCAATTTTGTTTTAGCAATTTGTCAAATAGTCTCTAATTTCAGGGATTATTTTTGTTTCGCATTATTCTTGTTGTGAAGTGGAATCAAATTAATTGCAGATTAATGTTCTTCAAGATTTATTCAGTTGACATGCAGACACACACACACACTCACACTGAGTTCTGCTAGTTTACTCCTCAAATGTCCGTAGTGCCAGGCTGAAGCCACGAGCTTAGAAATGCATCCAGGTCTTTCTTGCGGGTGGTAAAGACCCAATTATTAGGGCTATACCATTTGCCTTCCCAGGAGCATTATTAGCAGGCAACTGGATCAGAAGCAGAGTGGCTGGGGCTCACACCAACACTCTGATATAAATGGACATATATAGCCTACATCAATAGCTACTCTAAGGGGAATATCATTATAATTACCTGTGCTTTAAAAATAATGCTTTGAATTGTGTGTCATCCATCAATGAAAACCCTAGTGGGATTTCAGGGATCCAAGTGCTCTGAGTTTGAAATTGCAGTCACCTGCTCTAGGAAATATAGTTAACACTTTCTCTGGCACAGCCATAATTTCCATGAAATATACTATCTGACATAAGGACAGGGAATCACGTTCTATGGTAAACCTTTCTGAACAGCAGCTTATTTCACTGGATTATCTATCACAGTAAAGGAATATCTTGACTTTTCTTAGAAAAATATTAATGTTACAACTATTAGCATGCCTTTTAGAAGATGTGTCTTATGTGGGATGTTGTAGCAAAAAGTTCCTTGTCTAAGGATTGTGTTTACTTGCTTTGTATGTTGGTGTGTTTAAATCAGTGCTATGCCTTCTTTTTAGTAGAGATGTATTCAGGTCCATGTGGAAAAGCCTCTTTTTATTCTTAGTTAGATAAAAAAGTGGAACATGCTGTGAAAAAGGCCTAGAAAAGTCAGTTGACACATGTTTGATTTTCAGTAACACATGACGAGGAAAATTGTGTCTTTAGAAACAGACTCTGAAAATACTGATCCCATAACCATGGCAACCATTGAGACTTTTTTTGGTCTTTAGATTCACTGGAACAAATGTCACATGTAATTTTAAAAGAATAAACTTGTTGCTTGTGGCCTCTGCTATAGATACAAAAATTTCCCTTTCAGAAATAGCCTGTACATCTTCTGATTCTACAAATTTATTAGATAATAAATTTATTAGCCTTAATTGAGGTGGTTAGAATTACATTATAAAGCTACTTGGCACATTTCAGTCTCAGCATCTTCATTCATAATGTAAATTACATCTTCAGAAGCAAAATAATGAGAGGAGCTGTCTCACTTTGAGAGTTATTCAGGTGATTATCTACGTTTTGTCTTCCACTCCCCCAGCAATTGGGATAATAAATGCATAGTTAAAGAGAATATAACCCAAGGGCATGATATCCTGTGAAGTAGCTATTTCTTCATTTTTAGGAAGGTGCAATTAAGACAAAACCCTCATATTCCCTTTGTCATTCGTAGGTTCCTTGGATATATCCTCTGGAGTAATTATTTTTATCTGTAACTGAGAACTGTTAGTCTTCAAGAACAGTGTTTCTTTCATAGTTCTTGCTAGGTTGTGGTATAATTGAAATAAAAAGAAGATAAAAAAAATTGGGGCCGGTGTCATATGCAGCAGGCTAATCCTCTGCCCGATGGTGCTGTCATCCCAAAAGGATGCTGGTTCATGTCCTACTCTCTACTGCCAATCCAACTCCCTGCATCGGCTTGAAAAAGCAGCGGAGAATGCTCAAGTCCTTGGGACCCTATGTCCATGTGAGCTATCCAGGGGAAGCTCCTGGCTCCAGACTTCTGATCAGCTCAATTCTTGCCATTGTAGCCTTTTGGGGAGTGAATCAGTAGCTGAAAGATCTTTCTCTTTTCTTTCTCTGTTAAATATGCCATTTAAATAAAAATCATATATTTTTTAAAAAGTTTAAGAAGAGAAAAAGTATTCAAGAGTTGAAAGACACTATTAAAAGCCAAATATAAGAGTTATGGGAATTCCAGAAGGTGCAGAAAGACAAGCTGGGTTTACAAAAGTATTTAATGAAATAATAAGGGAAAACTTCCCTAATCTAGAGAAAGAACTGGAAACAACATCCAGGAAGGGCACAGAACTCCCAACAGGGTTGACCAAATGTGATCTTCACCACAGCACATGATAATCAAGCTCTCTTCAATTGAACTTAAGGAAAAGATCCTTAAATGCACATGGGAAAAAAATCAACTGATGTATAAAGGAATGCCATTTAAACTCGCAGGAGACCACTCATAGGAAATTCTACAGGCCAGAAGAGAATGGAGAGACATATTCCAGATTCTAAAAGCAAAAATCTATAAAAACTGTAGTTGGGCCAGGCGTGATAGCCTAGCGGCTATAGTCCTCATATTGTACTTGCCAGGATCCCATGTGGGCACCAGTTCTAATCCTGGCAGTCCTGCTTCCCATCCAGTTCCCTGCTTTTGGCATGGGAAGGTAGTGGAGGAGGAAATGTTAGAGTGTGGACAAAGCCTTGGGATCCTGCACCCATGCGGGAGACCCAGAAGAAGCTGCTAGCTCCTGGCTTTGGATTGGCTCATCTCTGGTCATTATGGAGTGAACCAGTGGACACAAGATCTTTCTCTCTGTCTTAGCATATTTTCATGCATCTGTGTAAAAATTTATATTTTGTCCTTTGTTTCTTTGTCTATTTCTTAACTGGATTGTTTTGCTTTGTTGTTGAGTCTCTTATGTTCTTTATAGATGCCTTGACTGTCTCTGGACCAAGCTGTAGAATGAGAATTGTGGTAGGAATGTGCTACTGATTGATATGCACCATCTACTGAGAACTTTTTCCTAGCCATGGCGCCAGGTGGATAACATCCTAGCCTTAGGTAAAACTAATGGCAGAGTTATCTTTAGAAACACCCACTTGACCATGATGTAAAAAGTCTGAGCCAGAGTTTGACTGATTTTGTATAAATAAAGTGGACAGCTTTTGTGCATCATCCATTATGATCATGAAGTCCTGGAGGTCTGTCTTTTTCTTTTCCTCTTTGTGCCTCATCCATGCACCCTTCTCGAGTTCCGAACTCAGCTGGAGCTGGACTCCGGCATTCAGTTTTGATAAAACTGATCAAATTACTAGCTATAGCTCACATCTCTGGCCTATATCAAAGACTACTAAGCTCAACTTGTATTTTTAAAATAGAATTGAAAACCAATATGCAGATCTGTAACATATCTGAAAAGAAATTCTGATATATTCCAAAACCCACCAAAAATAAATACCCATGGTTACTACCATCTCACTTTTTGGGAACAAATATGGCATGGATCACAAATTCTTACGTTGAAGCTATAACCTCCAAGGTGACAACTTTTAGAGATATAATCTTTTTTTTAAAGATTTATTTATTTTTATGCAAAGCCAGAGACTTACAAAGAGGAAGAGAAACAGAGAGGAAGATCTTCCATCCGATGATTCACTCCCCAAGTGAGCACAATGGCCGGTACTACACCGATTCAAAGCCAGGAACCAGGAGCTTCTTCCAAGTCTCCCACGGGAGTGCAGGATTCCAAAGCTTTGGGCCACCCTCAACTACTTTCCCAGGCCACAAGCAGGGAGCTGGATGAAAGTGAAGCAGCCGGGATTAGAACCGGTGTCCATATGGGATCCAGGAGCGTTCAAGGCGAGGACTTTAGCAGCTAGGCCACTGCGTTGGGCCCTGGAGATATAATGTTTAGGAGGGGGGATATAATCCTGTAACATTCTGGGTGTAGAAAAGGGATAAGCATGTGCTAGTCCTGAGTATGTGGATCCTATTCTCTGTGATTATTTCCCTGTGCTTGTTAGTTGGTGCTTATCAAATTTAGGTTTCTATGAAAAAGCTGGGAAATAGAGGCATCACCAACCTTGATGGTTACATTTCAAAAAGATAACTCCCAGGGTTACAGAGAAGGACACACACACACAGACACGGAGAGAAAGATTGAGAGAGAGAGAGAGAGAGAGAAAGGAGAATGGGGGATGGGTCTAGAATCTGCAAGAAGCCTGTCTCTAAAGTGCAAATAACATTTTGGAAGCAAAAATCTGTTGTTTAAGTATTGTTATTACTGAGAGCTTTATAGATGGATAAACATATGTTTCTTCTGATTCATTTTCAAGCACGTGGGAATGA